ATCAGCTGAGGGGCCCCCCCCCACTTCCAGTTGGTGGTTATTAGTCCCACGTTTGTGCGAAACGTCTATTCAGGAAATGACTTCACTCAGGAAACACGAACAGGAGAGCTGCTCGCGGTCCAGTTGTGTTCTGGTCTGGGCCCGCTCCTCAGCTCTGCGTATGGATATACCWAAAGTGACAAAGGAGGAAATTAGAGCTGTGGTTGTTTTGGTTTCTTCAAGGACACGCTCGCACATTCGTCTTGTTTCTCGTGTCTGGCCTGGGTTTTCAGATTGGTTCTGACGTATGAGTGAGGGGCTGCAGGGTGGGAGCTGAAGGCTGGATGACTGTCAGGGGGGTTAGGAAAGTTTCAGGTGGAAGCTTTGCAGCAATTTGTTCGCTTTMCAGGATTAATTTGCCCTCCACAGTCCACTGTGCGCACACATACAGGCAAAAACACGATCACCTTTTCACCTTTAGAGGAAGACTTATCTTMTTCTGGTTACATTTTTATGTGAAACACCTCAAATCCTAAATGCTAACACAACACTGTTCTCTATAAATTCCACAAAAAAGGTAATGTGCCTAAATTGTTCCTAAAATGCTAAACAGTGTATTCATTTTTTGTGATTTTATGCTGAGATTGCAGCAGAACGTCTAAATTAAAGCTAATTTTCACTTTTAAAACATGCTTATCATTTTCTGCACATAATAATTATGTGACCTCCTGGCCTGGGGGGGGCTTCGGTGCTAAAAAAAAGTCAATTGGGGGGAAGAGAGAGAGAGATGGAGAGAAAAAAAGATCTTGTAAAAGTCACTGCAAATTGGAAATTGACTAGATGCCAGGACAGTAAGTTGAGGATTGGGTGAGGGATGGGGTGGGAAGGGGAAGGGGGAGAAGAGGGGGGTGAGGGAGAAGAAAATGTCTTTGAACTAGTTTTAGCTTGCAGAAAATTTTGCTTCTGGGTGGATTTTCTTTCTGAAGTGTTTCATGGCGATGGGAATTAAGAAATGAAGCACAAGCACCAAAAGATSCAGTGAAGGGAAGGCACCCACCCACAGGTATTCTGTTCACATGACATCATCACGTGTAAAATTTACAACTTCATCTTCATTTGAGCCTTTTTTTATTTCAGCTTAGCAGGTTTACAAAAGTTTAATTGATTACTGTGTGTGTGTGTGAGCTCCACTGTACCAGTACTCACCCCGGAGGCCTCACTTTTAAAACCAAGTTCTCAGGGGTCATTGTGACCCACAGGAAGTAGGAGGGTTTGGTAAAATGCTACAAGAAAATATCATGATCCTTCTTTTACTTACTTATTTACTTGCCTACTTATTTACTTATCTATTTTTTACTTATTTATTTACTTGCATATTTACTTATCTGTTTGTTTGTTTTATGTATTTACTTATTTACTTACCTATTTTTTACTTATTACTTTATTATTATTTACTTGCATATTTACTTATCTGTTTTTGTTTTATGTATTTACTTATTTACTTACTTATGCACTTGCCTATTTATTTCTTTATTTACTTACGTGCTTATTTACTTGCGTATTTTCTTACTTACCCATTTATTTACTTATTTATTTACTTAGTTACTTACTTAAATATTTTTTTATTTACTTACCTACTTATTTACTTACTTACTGACTGATTTACTTACCTATTAACTTACTCACTTACTTAACTATTTATTTACTTACATATTTATTTACTTACGTATTTATTTACTTACTTACCTGTTTATTTATTTACTTGCTTATTTGTTTACTTACCCATTTATTTACTTATTTATTTACTTAGTTACTTACTGACTGATTTACTTACCTATTAACTTATTTATTTACTTACATATTTATTTACTTATTTACTTACCTGTTTATTTATTTACTTGCTTATTTGTTTACTTACCCATTTATTTACTTATTTATTTACTTAGTTACATACTTACTGAATGATTTACTTACTTATTAACTTACTTATTTATTTACTTACGCATTTATTTACTTATTTACTTATTCACTTACTCACTTTTTTGCTACTTACTTACTTACTGATTTACCTATTTATTTACTTACCTAAAATGAATGTACTTACTTACTTACCTATTTATTTTATGTATTGTAGCAGGGGGAAGTCATTCTGGTAGCTTGAAATCTAAGATTCTGATTGCAAAGTCATGAAAAACAGAATAAAAATCAGATTAAGTTGAATCAACACAATACTTTTATAGCAATAATTAATACGTCCATAAGCAACATTTTGTGATCTTCTGCTAGCTATGAAGTGTGTTTTTTTTATTTACACAGGCTGTAACGAAGGCGACTCAGGTTTCCACGGTTTGTGGTGAATTTGAAGTACTTTGTTTACATTGAGAGTGTACCTGTATTTCAGAATGACATTCAATATATCTGGAACACTTTTTGATATACTCCAAGATAACCTTTTTATATTTGATTAGATATTTTTGCAATGAGTCTTTTTTTTAAAGCACATCAAGATTCTTATCTTTTGTATTTTTATTTCTTGAACGAGTGTGTGTTCTGAAGTCAACATGTGCAGGCTGGCTCCGAGTTTCCTTCTCAGTGCACTCCCAGCTCGTGAACTGGAAACCTGGCTCCCGTCATCTCTCCGTCCGTCTCTTTTCTCGTGATCAGTCGGCTTCCTTTCACTCGCACACGCACGAGCAGAAATACCTGGGAGGATGAATGCTCAGTTAAACTGAACAAACATAATCCCAGACGAGCTCCGTTCCCGCCTGTCTGTTAGGGCTAACTCACACGGGGATCCGTGATTCCATCAGGGAAGGAGGCGCAAAGATCAGATGTCAGCTGAAAGGCCGCTGTCAGATAAAATCAGATTCACAGCTGTGGAGATAAACAGGAGTTTAATCAAACATCAGATAATCAGCTGGTTCACAGCCGTCTTTATTAACAGAGTGAAGAAATATAAAATGTTCACAAACAGAGTTCACATCACACCTGGTTTAAAACTCTGCCTGCTTTTCAAGCTTCTTTTATTGGTTTTCAAGGATGTTTATAGTCCCACTTATTTATCGGACCTCCTCCAGACCCCTCAGGTCCTCCGGAGGAGGTCTTCTGACTGACCTGAGATCAGCTGAGACTGTTTTTAGGATTCTCAGGACTCATGTGCACTCTGGCTTTTATTTATTTTATTTATTTCTAAATTTTAGCACATATATCTTAGTTTATTTCACTATTAGTTCGACCTTTATTTTATTCAGTCTTGTTTTTATTTTGAAGGAACTAACTTTTATTTTAACTTCCACTTCTCAAATTTTCTATCATTCTTTTATCATTTGAAATTCATTTTTATATATTTATATATTTACCAGAGTACTTGAAAAATGAACTAAAAGTAAAAATACCTTAACGGAAAATGACTTTGGTAAAAATAAATTTCACTGATGAGCAAAAGTCATAAAACTGTTCACAAAATGCTGGAAAGTAAAAGTACTTTTATGCAAACTTGAAAAAAAAATACACTGTTGAATTTACTAAACCAAATGGTTTAGTAAATAGTAGAGTAAATATGTATATTATATAGTAAACAGCAGAGTAAATATGTATATTGCTCAATTTACTCAACTTGGTTTGGTGGAAACCATTTACTAAACCAAATGGTTTCCACCAAACCAAGTTGAGTAAATTGAGCGATATACATATTTACTCTACTAGGTTTAGTGGAACCAGTTGACTTAGTTGAGTAAATTCAACACTTGAGTTTTTTAAAGTGTGGAAAACTCCTCTCATGATGAGTTCAGACATTTTTGATTTTGTAACAAGTTTAACAACTTTAAAGTAAAGAACTAAAAGTATCTTATTGGGTTTTAAATGTAACAAAATAAAAGTAAAGGTAGCAATTTTTAAAAATTACAAATCCTCAAAAAATAATCACTTAAGTACTGTAGTGACGCCTCCATCTTGAGTTTGCTCAGTCAGCGTTGAAACCTTTACAACTTCTCACTGTTTTGAATGACTGCTTTCCTGTTTTAATGTGGCTTTAAGCACTTTGTGTTTTTTGTAGAATGAAAGTTGTGTCATCGTTAGTTTGAGTTTGATAATCACAYATTTTCTGCCTCCTCCCCTTATTAAAACCATACCTAACAGCTGACTTCTCCCTAATCTATGCAACCCTGCTTTTCCCCTTTTAAACTCTCCTCTGTCCTCTTGCGTTAATGCAAAGCCTCAGCCTGTCAGTCAGCGAAGCACCGGTGCTGTGGGTGCGGCAGGATTCCTGCCTTTCTGAAGTCAACTTGTCATGTGAGATCTGCATCAGCCGGCGCTCAGCGCAATCACCGGCCCAAGATTAATTGCTTGAGCTTCACCACTTCAAACGTTTTCTTTAGACGTTGCGTTATGGGATGAGTTTTTGCGAGGCCCATCATCATCATCATCATCATCATCATCATTTCTACACACACCTGCACAGCTCATACAGGGTGATATTTGTTCACATTCCTGAGTGGCATTAAAAGAAACATGCACCTTGTCAGACGCTCACATTCTTGACCTTAAATGTCATCATTCATACATACATACATACATACATACATACATAC